ACCACTTAAAAAAAACTCTTGAATCGACCACCACCACCACCACCAGCAGCAGGGCAGCCAGAGTCATGCATTATGTCCAGACGAAATGGCCGCAAAAGTCGTTCACCGGTGACCTGAAACAAATGTTCTGCAGAAGAGAATCCCTTTGTGTCGTCGGTAACTGCCTCATATTTGGAGAACGTCTAGTGATCCCCCAGTCTCTTCGTGCAAAATTCCTAAAACAGTTTCACACTGGTCATCCAGGAATAGAACGTATGAAAGCCATCGCCAGAAGCCACGCTTATTGGCCCAGTACGGACTCTGATATAGCTGAATTTGTCAGTCGCTGCGCATCATGTCAGAAGGCAGCTAAGAATCCCCCACGTATTCTGCCAAAGAGTTGGCCATTACCAGATCGACCTTAGTCTAGAATTCATATCGATTTTGCAGGTTCATTACATGGAACCTACTATCTGATTCTTGTTGACGCTTATTCCAAGTGGCCAAAGATCGTCGCAGTATCACCCGTATCGTTACGCCAAACAATCGCGGCTCTTAAAAATATTTTCATCTGCCATGGGTTGCCCGACACCATTGTTTCCGATAATGGATCACTATTCACGTCCCACGAGTTTGCGGAGTTTTGCAGTGTCAATGCAATCCATCATATTCGTACAGCACCGTACCATCCACAATCCATTGGCCAGGCAGAAAGATTTGTTGATACCTTTGAGCGAGCTTTCCTTAAAGCCGGAAGAGGAGGAGGAGACACGGATGTTATACAACAATTTCGATTCATCTATCGCTCAACGCCAAATGACGCCTTACCAGACCACAAATCTCATGTGGAAGTTTTAATGGGAAGGAAGCTACGTACGCCACACCACGCAATGCTGCCACCACTTCATGCACAGACAACGCAAACAGTTGGATCACACTTAAACGATGGAGACTGCATCTACGTACGAGATTACAGACCAGGACACGGCATGTGGACGGAAGATGTTCTCATGGGTACATCATACTCCCACATCGGAAACAATGGTGTCGGGCAACCCATGGCAGATGAAAATATTTTTAAGAGCCGCGATTGTTTGGCGTAACGATACGGGTGATACTGCGACGATCTTTGGCCACTTGGAATAAGCGTCAACAAGAATCAGATAGTAGGTTCCATGTAATGAACCTGCAAAATCGATATGAATTCTAGACTAAGGTCGATCTGGTAATGGCCAACTCTTTGGCAGAATACGTGGGGGATTCTTAGCTGCCTTCTGACATGATGCGCAGCGACTGACAAATTCAGCTATATCAGAGTCCGTACTGGGCCAATAAGCGTGGCTTCTGGCGATGGCTTTCATACGTTCTATTCCTGGATGACCAGTGTGAAACTGTTTTAGGAATTTTGCACGAAGAGACTGGGGGATCACTAGACGTTCTCCAAATATGAGGCAGTTGCCGACGACACAAAGGGATTCTCTTCTGCAGAACATTTGTTTCAGGTCACCGGTGAACGACTTTTGCGGCCATTTCGTCTGGACATAATGCATGACTCTGGCTGCCCTGCTGCTGGTGGTGGTGGTGGTGGTCGATTCAAGAGTTTTTTTTAAGTGGTCAACCCATCGTTTCCTTTGTTTCTCCTATTCAGTGGCAACTAAGTTTCCTTCACTATCTTTCGTTGGCTTCATCTATGCTGTGTTCATCTCTTCCCAGACAGCAAGTAACCTGGTTATTTGATATTATGTTGTCAGGTCTCTGTATCCCCCACCAACAGCAGCCTGTTCTGCTTCACTTGCCAGTGTGTCGTACAAGTATCTCTTGTCTTTCCGCACACTCTTCTTCACTTCTTCATCCAGTGTAATGTTCTATATGTTGTACTCAGTTCGTCTTTTCGTTATTCATCCCTGCACTGCATTGCAGTAGTTCATCTTCTTCCCCCTCCTCTATCAGCTTCCATGTGTCCATCAAGATCCATTTCTTGTCCCGACTTGCTTCTTCTTCTTCTTCCTTTCTAACACCGTTATGCAGGTTCCTTTCCACCTCTCTTTCACAGAGTTCCAGTCTTCTTCCACACACCTTTCTTCACGGATCTTGCTCAATGTCTCCCACTTTTTCCCTGATACCTGACTGATGTGAAGATGTCACCTGTAGTTTCGTCCTTCACTTCGGTCTCTGTTCTGGGTGTTCAACTCGAACTGTGGTCTATTACCAACTTCTGTGAAGTGAAGGCTTTCAACTTGATTTTGAAGGTAGGTTCCTTGCACTAGATAGTGGAGTGAGTGGTGTGAACCTACATCTACTCCTCTTCGTGATCTGATCTTGTGTCCAGTTGGTTGGCTGTGTCTCCACTTTCTTCACTTTGAGATGAAGTCGATCTGATTTCTAGTGTAGTGTGTCCTGGTGTCTGGTGAAATCCTTGTGTTCGTACACACTGCCCCACTCCAATCACCAAATCGCTGAATGCGCAGAATTCTGCAAACAGTTCTCCATTCTCGTTCTTCATTTCACCGAGCGCTTCTCGATGTATGATAAGTTCTCTTCCTGTGTTGTCTGCTCCCTCCCAGTTTGGCATTCATGTCGCCCATTAGAATTTTGATGTTCTCAACTGCAGTCTTGTCCTGTACTGATTGTAATTGTCTGTAGAATTCCTCCTTCTTCTCTTCATCTGAATTATTTGTAGGTCTATTGCGTAGCATTGTATGATTGTGACTTTCCTTCCTTTTGAGTTGAATCTTGCTGTGATGGTCCTGAACCTGCAGGAGGAGATTGGTTCTCACTGCATGAGAGAGAAAGAGAGACTTCGATGCTCTTCAAGGGGACATCATGATAGACACTCCATAACTCAGTGTGCTGTGCTCGTAGTTGTCGTCTGGGTGACAATATCGGAGTAGATTATTGACTCTGAAGTTGACAGATGGGAGAGTCCACTCCCATTCCATCTGCATATTCCTCGCAGACTCCAAGCACTTCTATGCTATACCTTCTCATCTCTTTGGCAATCTGGACAGCCTTGCTAGGTTCATACATGTTGTGGACATTCCATCTTCCCATGTTTACTTTCACTTTCATCGAGAGAAGGGAAGACACATCGGCCAATTGGCTTGCCGAAGACTTTTACCAACTGGCGTCATTTCGCCTCTCCGATTCCAGCGAGGAATAAGTTTGATTTTATTTTTTATATTTTCTTTGTGTTTTGAAGTTTGTTTAGTGGTTGGATTGGTTTTCCGGGATAGAGTTGCTAACCCTATGCCTAACCTTCTCTCTTTATCCGAAATTAGGACTGTCTAGTAACTAGTACACCAGGCGAGGTTGTCATTGGCTCTTGGTTTATAGGTATTAACTGTACAATGCGTTGACTGGTAGATTTTTAATGTTCTATCACATACTCATTTCGGTATTTCGGCATGTCAACTTGGTTGCCGGAGTGGTGAGAAACAGTTATGTTCTGTGAGTCTTTAATAAGTTTCATGAAGTCAGGAATTTGAAGGTGAAAGGTGAAATTTCATGTAAGGAATGTGTATGTTTACGTGAGATTGTTGACATACATTGGCTGATGTAGCGTTTTCATATGTTTTGTGTGTACTCTACCACCATCTACACCAATGTGGAATAATAGAAGTAAAATACAAAAAGTTTTGTTTACCAAGTGAAGTCATGTGGTCTGTGTGTGTGTGCGCGCGTGCATATAAACTTTATATGACTCAAATTTATAAACATTGAAAACTAGAGACTCGGGCGGGGGAAGGGTTACCAGATGATTGGAATCATTGGTTGATCAGTTTAAGATTATACAGTTTGAATAATCTTGTTCATTTGTTCCGGCGGAATATTTCGTTCCTATTACTACTAATTATCTTATTCTATGAAATAGTATTCATTCAATTGCGTACCTGTGGTTTTGGATCCTCACCTACCCCTGTCAACTGGTCTAAGGCAGGACAATGCATCATAACTTTCTTTAATGACATGTTAAGTTAACTGCTTTTTGTCTAACCACTAAGTATCAAAGGTTTCTGGTAAGGGAGGACATCAAGGGAATAGACGTCGCACCAGCAGAGCTCGCCGGGTCAACGTAATACATAAGCCCGATCACCACGTGAACGCAGCGGCTATCGATCGGGATTGGCGCAGGATGAGTAGTCAAGGTCTTACATAAAGCCTAACACTGATATCCGGAACAGTAAAGGAAAGCAAAGGAGGAGTCGAAGGTGAGAAAGGCAGAATATCGTTAGTCGAATGAAGTATGGTAACAGAAGAGTCTGACTACGGACACCGTAGGATTTGTTTATGCAAGGTACTTGGCAGATAAAATGGGGCTTAGTTTTGCATAACCATAAAGCTTAAGGTACATTTGCATGCGGCCTGTCACACATGATGTTTCGGGAATTTGAGGTTCAACTTTGATTGGTATAGCATCGAAATACCAAAGGGATGATGAGAGTTTTGATTTAGGAAGTCGACCTTTTTGAGTTCCACCCTTCCCTTAGGGAAGGCAACATCAGCATTGCACTGCTGTTGTGCCTAGTTGTCGGCAGTACGAACTTCCCTCATAGCGGCGTAATTTATGCTAAAACAATAAATCATTTTAGTTTCATCCCTACCTAACAAACCTTTTTGGTATGGAACAAAAGTTTCCATCAGTATAGTCTTTTTTTGGTCATAATCATATGCAAACTCCACCACTATGTGAAAGGAGAAGCTATCGGTCGAGAAATGATGTGATTTACATCTCACTGTGTACCAACACGAATCTAGTCACCAGATTTTGCACGTATATACTACAAGCAGAGCTGTGACTCACCGGTATACGCATTCGGTTTTCAACCAATGAGTGAGGGATTCGGACGGCACTTCCTTTATTTAAGTTTGAATAGCCAAATAATATCATCTGCCTTCACTTCGTAGGCGTACATGGTTGCGACGAATTATTTCATTTCACTGTATTTTTTTCGTTTCGACTACGTTACTAGTAACAATCTTAGACATGAAATTTTCATTCAAAATTTAACTTGACTACTTACCTCACGCCCCTTTTCATCAAAACTAGCTTGGCAAGACATTTCATGGTGTTCATGTTCTTCTGTGCCAACTTGTGGTTTTTTTAGTTCTGATTGGTGAAGATAAAACAAAAAACGTGGCTGTTTGGTGATGAACGAATGATATGTTCTAATTCGATAAATATTTCTGGATATGCCTTCTACACTGGGTGGTTTGATTCACAAACTTTAATTATCATAATAGCTAATGTATTCAATTAGAATTTTAGGGAGAGATGACGTTCCAATACTTCCTCACAGTCAGTAAGTTAATTTTTCACAATTTCAGCCAAATAGGTCTGAAACTTACTGATTAAGTCATTCAACACAGCCACCAGGTCACATGTTCGAACTCCACTTTACCTACGACACTTTGGGTAGACAAGCAGCATTAATTGACCTGGCAAACATGTAACTTACGGCACGTTACGAGAATCCGCACACAGCCACCCAGCAGCATTCGAAGTTCTATTCTCAGTTAACAGAAAAAGATAATTTCACAGCTATCATGTAACTTTGAAAAATCATCTTCTTTAGGAATTAAAGCCATACTGACAATGAAAACTTCAAAATTAAGTTACCCAACTTTGAAAGCGTTACAACGAAACAAACAACTGATAAGAAAATTGGTAATACTTATGGAATGGAAAGCATAGGAAACGTTCCTATTAGACGGGTGTTTTCAGGTAGTAAAAATAATTATTCAGATGACTAATAATGAGTCAATGATTTACGTCCAAACAGTAGTCAGTCAATCAGTATCCGATATGGGATCTGAAATGACTGCATAATGGTTCAAGTATGTATGCATCACACCAACACGTAAAGGTAACAAGACAAAAGACATAGAAATATAAATAATTTAATCGAAATTTTTAGAAGACCATAGTAACACAAAATGGGAATAAAGCAAACAAAGAAAGGTAACTTACTAATTCAGAAAAAAATAAGATATGGGTGGATCCTTACCACTGCGATTGATTATGAGAAATATCAACTAGTTTCCAATCATCCACTTCAGTTGTCAGGCAGATCCCGGCAGAATGTTCACATTGCTCTATTTGATTTAGACTAACGGCCAAAGAAAATATTCAATTTTATAATAGATATTCTTAAGGAGGTCTCCCTCTCGTCACCTGATTACACAGACGTTGACATAATCTCGTGAGAACTTTCGTTAGACCTAGAATACACAGTTGACATAATCCTGTTAGGTGAAGACTCTGACAAGATGCAGAGTCTTCTGAACATTTTGAGTGACAATTTGAGAACGTTTGGGATGTGTTTCTCATCACCCAGATGCATATTGTTGCTTAGGGATTGGTCTTTAGCGGTGCCTCAGATAACAATGGAGAGTGTAATGGTTGAGTGTGTTGACCACTTCACTTACCTGGGAAGTAGGATCAGCCTTGCCCTGGTCGCTCAGTGGCCGATGAAATCTCTGCACGAATACAAAAGGCTCGGCTGACTTTTGCCTACTTACGCCATCTGTGGCGCCACCGCGGCGATATCCGATTGTCTACTAAGGGTTGCGTTCACTGCATAGCGGTTCACTCTGTTCTACTCTATGCCTGTGAAGCATGGCCATTGAAGTTGGAAGATATGAGAAGGCTTCAGGTGTTTGACCACCATCGCCTTCGTATTATAGGCCGTATTCCGTGGTGTCACCACCACGTGAGTAATGCAGACGTCAGGTGTGGAGTTTTAGGGAGAAGAGGTAAGTCACTTGACACAGTTGTGAACCTTCATCGACTGAGATAGTTGGCACATGTGTTACATATGTCTAGTCACCATCTGTCTCGTCACACAATGTTTACCGAAGTAGGTTCAGACTGGAAAAAGGCTCGAGGCAGCCGGACTAAAACATAGCATCAATGTATGAAGTCGGTGACTTGGTTTGAGCCATGTGGGGCGATGCAGACTAACCGGTTGGAGTCCGCGGGACAGGAGGAACCAGTGGTTGGAGACTAGGTGATATGGCTCAGAACCGATGTCAGTGACGCAGATGTATGCGCACATAATCCTCATCTTAACGACGCCATACCGAATCACTCCATTTTCTCATTCTTCCTTTCTCTCTTTTCGTACTTTATATTTCTTTTGACTGGGATATCTTTGCTTCATCTTCTTCTTCACTGCCTTGTTCTTGATGTACTGATTTGAGATGTGGCAACTCGGACAGCTACGCAGTAATGCCTGGTCCTATGTTGATTTGGGTGGATGATGACGATGAACAGTCAACGACTTCATAGACGGGTTTATGGAATCCACTTGAGTAGATCTCTTGTTAACTTAAGCACTACGGTAAGTGTTGTTTAGTTTCAAATATTTATTGGTATAGGAACAATACGGATATGAAAGCTGATAGTAAAGAAGCGTAACATGAGGAAAAGACTAAGATAGTAGTGAATAAGTTCACTTAAAAGAATAAAGAAACTGTGATCGGGAACAAGCGGTACCTGTATAATCCTAACCGCCCTCATACTACAGTCCGCACTAGTCAAGCCTCTCTGATCACCACTGACTTCACACACCTTTAACTCCTATTCTTTTCACAGGTCTTTCGGTCAATATATCTACGTTATCACTAGGTTATTTTAGCTTTGCAGTTTTCATTAAGAATTCAAGTTCATAAGATGGAATCACTGGTTTCTTTAAATCAAGCGCTAGACTACATATTGTAGTTGTCGATCTCCACACTGTTCCTAAAAAATGGATGGTAAACTTGGCCGATAAAAACTTTGGCATCTAATGTCATGGACGCATGCTGTGTTTCTGAAACACGTATATGTGTGGTTACTCATATAACCGTACATGATCAACATAGTGAATCGCCAAAACTCATCCCTCGAGTATCTAAAGATTCAATAATTAGTTCTCATGGTCTTCTAGGTGTAGGTATAGCAATAAGTGATAAGGCAGAAAGAACACTGCTCGACTGGATCTCAGTTGACAGTTGCCTGTGTGCCGTTTAGTTGAATGGTGAGGATTAAAAAGAATATTGAAAATCGCCTTTGTCTTTTTATAACTTCTTCTTACATATCGGACAAAGGGCAGACTGAACGATCTTTAACGAACACTATCTAAGCTCCAACAGAAAGTCAAATGTTCGCATTAGGTGGCCAAAGTGGACTTCAGCGGACAAGTGAGTAGGCTAAGCCAGATAGAAAGTCACTTAGGTAGCACAGAATCCCAGCTGAATGGACAGATAATGGCAATCGTCTGATACAACTGTCACCAAGCAATCACCTGCTTCTAACAAGTCCGAAAGCTTAGACACAAAAAGATACAGTCTGACGTGATATCCACTGACCTCAGCTCAGCGGTGGACACAGGTAAACTATATCGCTATCAGTTACAGCTGAAGAGGGTCAGTAGAAACTACCGCTCCACATTGAGCACAAGTTTGAGCATCAACAAAGCGTTGGTTTAATAACATGTGTGCCTGCCCTAAAATGGACGTCGGGAAGCTATAGCAACGAGACCACTGTGAGTACAGCTCGACAGTGATAGCACTAAGGCTGCTTGAGAAATTATCCAGATAGTTATGAACATCCAGGCCATAGGTTTTACGAATGTCCTGAAAAAGTTGAGCACCAAGTCAGGTTGATTGATTATATAGGATTATATAAAAACTTACCTATATAATGTATCTAGATAGTTGCCGCAACAAGACATAGTCAGTTATCTTGAAGTGTGATCCCGTCTCTAGTATGCTGTAAAAACACAGTTAGGGAGTGCAATGAACCTACAGAAAAAAGGCATAAACAACCCGCAGATCGACGCATATGAAGGCATTCCTACTAACCCCGAGCCAAATGAGGAGCAGCAACAACTTTAATATTAACTGACAAAGAGTCTATGCGATGAAAGAAAGCAGCGATGGGCACGAAAGGTTGAAGAGATGGAGAAGGCGGTATCGATCGAAAAAAGTAAGCAATCATTAAGAATAATCAACGAAACGTGTGAAACTTCAGCAGAGGTTAAATGGCGATATGCTCCCAAAAGAAGACAAACAAAATGAACGTAGAACCTTAATATGGGTATAAAACTTAGGCACTGTGGTAAAATATAATTGCATATTAGATTTCTTTATTTGATTTATAACACACAGTGATATAGTATCATTTACTTGATGACATTTCGAGCATAAACTATTGCTCATAATCATATCAATGTAGTCACACAACTTTAAAAAGTTGTGTGTGTGTGTTACAAATCAAATAAACAAATCCAATTCGGAACCTAGAAACTCTCGGACGAATATCGCTTCAAGTTGCCACACTTCATAGTAGCACATAAAGAACAAATGGATAAAAAAAGACTTATATGATGGTAAACAGAGGTGTGTGTGAACAGAAGGAATTTAAAAATGAAGGTGGATCACAACACTCAAGCTTAAGAAGACGTTGAGGAGTGAATGTATGTGCACCATTGTGACCGATTTTCAGCCATTTCGCCAAAAGTCCTCATCCACTGATTCCTATCTTCTCGCGGGCTCCAGTCAGGTAATTTACACTTCCACAAACGACTCAGATCAACAGTCAAAGACTTCATGGATTGGTCCCAAGCCTTAATCGGGCCATTCTCAGCCGTCTTCTAACGTAAGGCAACTCCACCCAGCATTACACACCAACGTGGGTGGTGGCTCAGCAAACACAACACATGTGCAAGCCATCTCAGTTGTTGAAGATTCACAACCTCATCAACCAACCAGTTTATCTTGCCCAGTAACCTTCAACTAACCTCGACACTAATCCCATGGTGATCCCACCATACGCCAGCAATACTACAAAAACACCCGCGGTCAATAACGTGTTATCTCTTTATATCTCCTATTTTCAACTGTCAGTCATACAACGGGATAGTACGGACTGCATTGCAGTATACTTGTCCTTTGATAGATGGTCGGATATCTCACATTAGATTTATTTGTTTGATATATAGCGCACACTGATACAGTATTACTTACTTCTCAAGTAAATAATACTGTATCACTGTGCGCTATATAACAAATAAACAAATCTAGTATGGAATTATATTCTACCACAATGTACAAGTTTTACACTTA